AAAGAAAGAAAGAAAGAAAGAAAGAAAGAAAGAAAGAAAGAAAGAAAAAGAAAGAAAAGAGTATTACTAGAGGAAAAAAACCTTACCTAACCCAGTACCCAAAGATAAGCCACAACAAACCACTTGTCTGTCAACAACAGGCAGGCTCTGGGGGAAAGGTATCTCATTACCAAGTAAATGTTGAGGACAAAGGCAATAGTGGAAAATGACAGAGTGGTGGTGTTATGACTGGAAAGAAAGGAAAAGAAGCCAGTATTTGTGAGCAGCTACTTTGTACGATTCATTTACAACACCTGTGAATGCTTCCTATGTTCCAGGCATTATGTCAAGTTCTGAGGAAAATAAAGATATACAGACTAATTATCAAAAAGAATAGTGAAGGTTCAGTTAAAAGCCGTGGACAGTGCTGAGAGCCAATGATAGGAGTCCCAGCCTGGGGGAAAAGGGAAGACTTCCCGGAGGACGTGATACCCAAGCTGAGACCTGAAGGATGAACAGGACTGGCCAGGTAGGTCAGCAGGGGCAGAATGGTCCAGGCAGAGGAAAGAGCATGTGTGAGGGTGACTCAGAGGCAAAAGTGTTGTTCTGGTGGCTTTACATACAGGTCCTTAGAGAATATGAATCCAGACTGACTCTATCCATTCCTTTGCGGTGGTTATTCTTTCCAATTTATTTTGATTTTATTGTTAGGTAAAAATGGGCCTCTAGCAAAGAGATCCAGTCACAGGTGAAGGCCCACATCAACCCAGAGTTCAAAGTTGGGGATGGGGCCCAACTAATTGAAAAGGAAGCTCTCGAGATGAGAAGCAGGCAGTGCTGAACCTGCCAATAGTCCTAGTTGCTTGGCAATGTCATGATCAGGGCAAATGCCCTAAGTAGAGGCCATCCGTCACAGCGGATACTCTGAGGGCCACCCAAGGCAGAGGGCCAGAGGAGAATGGGGTGGACAGGGTAAAGGAGGAAGAGAATGCACAAGTCTGGGTGTCCCACTAGAAGGCTGAGCCTCATAAACACCGAAAGCTGCATGGTGACAGCCTTCTGTGTGGACAGAGAAGAGAGGGGGCAATTTGCCACCCATGGGATCCACCAGAATCTGGGCTCTGGAGTACTGCTGCCCCGGGTGGACTCTCATCCAAGGAGTTCTTTGGTCTTCACTGCTAGATGCCTGTCCAGCTCTGCAACGGTGTCGTCGGCCATTTGACTGATCTGCAGGAACACAAAATGAGACAGCCCGATAACTGGCGCTGGGGAAGGGTAGGGGGACAAACATTCCAAAACTATGGAAAAGTTATCTGGGAAACAGTGATGGTGACAGAAGCTCACATTATTTAGTCCCAGCCAGGCGCTGTGCTAAGAACTTTATATACACACTCTTACTTATTCCCAACAGTAGCCCCATGAGATAGATACTATCATTATCCCCATTTCAGAGATGAGGAAGTTGAGGCAGTTAGATCACCTGTCAAGATACACAGCTGAAAGGAGCAATGACAAAATTTAATCCCCAGTAGTCTGATTCCACAGTCCCAAATTCTTAACTATTATTATAGAACACAGAGAAGCCAGCCTTATCGGTCACTTAATGACCCTCTAGAATTTCCTACACCTCCCGACACTCTGGTATATAAAGACTATTAAGATCCCAGTAATTAAGCAGGAAAAAAAAAAAAGTCTTGAAAAAAGAAGAAATACATCTGGTTAACAAACATGGAAAATTCAACAGACACTGAAGAAATGCAAATTAAAACAAGATATAATTCCGTTATCGTAGTTAATAAAGTTTGATGTTGTAGCTTTTAATTACAATATTCAATGCCAGAAAGCTATGGTAAAATGGGTAAGCTTATATATCAATGATAGGAATTCAAATTGATGCAAATGTCCACACCATTTTTTAACCCCCCAAACCTCTCAACTGGGAAATTACCACATGAATGGAATCTGAAAAAAATTTCTAAAGTTCCATATGCAAAGATATTTATCTAGGCTTTATTTTTTTTTTTAAGATTTATTTATTTATTTTAGAGACAGTGGGGAGGGGCAGAGGGAGAGAGAGTCTCAAGCAGACTCCACACCAAGTGTGGAGCCTGACGCAGGGCTCAATCTCACAATCCTGAGATCACAACCCAAGCCCAAACCAATCACGACCGGAGCCGAAACCAAGAGTCTGACGCTTAAACACCTTTGCCACCCAGATGTCCCATCTAGGGTTTATTTATTTATTTTTTTAAGATTTTATTTATTTGACAGAGAGAGACACAGTGAGAGAGGGAACACAAGCAGGGGGAGTGGGAGAAGGAGAAGCAGGCTTCCCGCTGAGCAGGGAACCTGATGCGGGGCTCGATCCCAGAACTCTGGGATCATGACCTGAGCCGAAGGCAGACGCTGAACTGACTGAGCCACCCAGGCGCTCCTAGGCTTTATTTTTAATAATGAAAAATCAGAAAATCTAAAGTGACAGAACAGGGAAGTAGCTGAATACATACATCCATTAAAAATGGTTAAGATTTAAAAAAATGGTTAAGATTATCTACTTTTTATGGAAAGGGTATAAATATGAATAACATTCCAGCACATATTTCTGAAATGTTTGAATGTTTATAGCAAGTACGGATTGCTTTTGTAATCAGAAAAAAGGAAATAATGTTTAAGATATTCTTTATAATATCATGGGAAAATGCTCATGTTATCTTTAAAGAAAAAGCAGGATACAAAATTGTGCATATACATAGTAGAAATGATCTCAAGTATGTAAAAAAATGCACATTTCTTAAAAATGGAAGGAAACATGTGAAAATACTAATGGTCTTTATCTTTTAGTGATGGGAAGACAGATAATATATTATTCATGTCCCTATCTATCACATCTTGCAAAAGACCTAGTGTATAGCAAGTGCTCAGGAAATATTTACTAAATGAATAATTATCAAAGTTTTCTGTGCTTTTCTGTATTTTCCAAATTTTCAAAAATAAACATGTACTAAAGGTGAGAAACAAAACACAATACAATTTAATAAGTGTTGCAGCTTCCCTCCCACGTCTAAAAGGGACCAAAGACAGGAAGCCTTGAAGTATGGTGCCCAGGATCCGTGTGCTCAGTGGCACAGTGGCCACTTGACATCTTTATTTGCAGACCACAGGCCTTGGCCAAGAACTAGGAACTAAATGCACTGGGAAGGGTAGTAACGAAAAAGGATTTGGAGCAATTGGTCCCAGGCAGGGAGACAACCAGGCTCTCACCAAATCAACAGCTGCACATTTTACAGCCAGGGGAAAGCAGGGCTTTGGGGGCTGCTGGGCGTGCTGGAAGAGCGGCTGGGCTCAGAATGGCTGCTGGGTCCCTCCTCACTCAGCCACAGACTTTCAGATGCTGCCCCACCCCGCCCAGAGCAGCTGCCTTGCATGGTGGGTGGCAGGATGCCCAGCAGCACTCACTCCAGCAAGCCTACTCTGGAAAAATGGCGCAAGGGCAGTTTGGGGACAAGAATGGGGACTGGGGAAGGAAGAGTACCTAGAGTAACAGTGTGATAATGTGGGTCAGCACCCACATATCAGTTAAATTCTCAGTGGGGTGACAACGTGTAAGTCACTGAGTCTCAGTTTCCTCATCTATCAAATGGGGATGCCGGTCCCTTCCTCAGAGAGTAGTTGTGCGAGTCGAACTTGTTCATGAATACGCAAGCACGGTTTAAACTGGTTATTTGCTATGCAAATGCTGCTTGTGCTACTCTGATTTTTATTATCACTTCCTGACTTCTTTTCAAAGTAATCAATTAATGAAAATATTTACTAACTTTCTAGCAAATAAGAGGCACAAAGTGCCCCTGGGGACAGTCTGCCTGCAAGTTCATCTTTTCCATCTTTATCAGACTTCTTAAATAATGATGATTAACATGGGGCACCTGGGTGGCTCAGTTGGTTGAGCACCTGACTCGATTTTGGCTCAGGTCATGATCTCAGGGTCATGAGATCGAGCCCGGACTCAGGCTCTGCACTCAGCAGGGAGTCTGCTTGAGATTCTCTCTCTCTCCCTCTGCCCCTCCCCTGCTCGCACATGCACTCTCTCTCTCTCCCTCTAAAATAAATAAAAAACCTTTAAAAAATAATAAAATAAAACGATGATTAACAACAATGACAACAGCACAATAGCTCCCTCTTACCGAGTATTACTAGGTGCCAGGTACTCGGCTAAAAACTTCATATGCATTATTTCACATAATCCTCAAAATCTATGAAATGCTGTTACTATGTCCCTTTAATACATTGTGAATACTTGACTATTTCACCTGACAGTTGCATAGTCGTACATGGTATGCAAAGGGGTTTTGTCCAAATCCAACAACCACACATAACTTCTATAAGGCAGGTGAGACAGGTATTATCCCCATTTTACAGAGGAATAAACCAAGGGGTAAATGTTAACTAATCTGCCCAAGGTCACGTTAAAAAGTCAGTGGTGTGACTGAGCCAGGAAGTCACCTACCCCAACAGCCAGTTTGGTGCTGCTACCCGCTGTGAGGCGCCCCCAGCACCTGGCCCTGTCCTTCCTCACTCCAGGCAAGCTGTGTGGGGGTCATTCCAACCGTCAATCCTAGCCCCGAATTCAGTCAGAGAAGGGTGGGGAAAGCAATGGGACGGACAAACAGGGTGGACAATTACTGAGGACTGGCAACCACACCAGCCACTTTAAAGTATGTTTGTCATCTGGTCCTCTCAGCAAACCTGTGAGATAAGCACCCCTCCTCCCACTTTTCAGATGAGGAGACAGAAGCTCAAAAAGGTGAAGCCATTTGCTAAGCTTTGCAGCCAAGAAGTGAAAGAGCTGGGATCTGCACCAGTCAGGCCTGCCTGCCTCCACAGCAAGAGCCCTTTCCATTTTAATCCACTGCCTCATAAAGACCATATCATCATGGTCGTCATCCTCACATCTGCTCCCTTCTCCTTCAGGAAAGTGGGAGGCGGAGCCAGGACAGGGGAAGGCAGGAGCACACAAGTGCAGGGCTGGGGCAGGCGGGTAGCAAGCCAGCCTCCCAGAGGCCTGGCTCAGAACACCCACTGCCTCACCCAGGCCGGCCTCCCTGCCTGCTTGCCTGGCCTCCGGGAGCCCCTCCCTCCTTCAGCCTGCTTGCACCCAGCTTCACTTCAGAGCAGCACTGTTGCTCAGAATAAGGCGGCAGTGAAAGGATCTTGGCCAGATTTACTGGTGGTTTCTGCCAAGCGCCTTAATGCTCAGCAGGCCCATTTATAGTAAACTGAAGCAAAGGTGAAACAGCAGGCTGGCAGATGTCAGAGTCCCGAGTGGGTAGGCCCCGGTCCTTCTTCAGCTGAGCTGGTCTGGGCCGCGGGTTGGGAAGCTGGGTGTGTGTGGGGGGGGGGGGGGGGGGTGTCAGACGTGACTATAGGAATAGAACCTATAACTCAAGCCCTTCATTTTTATACACCAAAGAAGAAACATTTCTATAATATAGTTTTTAAAAAATCTGACTTCAAAAGAATTTTGGAACATTAAAAAAAAAATCCCACAAAGAATAATATTGAAATTGTTCATAATCCCATTGCCTGAAATGACTAGCATTAATGACCACCATTCTCAAGTGGTTAGGTTGCCAATCTTTTTTTTTTTAAGATTTTATTTTTGAGTAACATCTACAACCAATGTGGGGCTTAAACTCACAACCCCAAGATCAAGAGCCACATGCTCTACTGACTGAGCCAGCCAGGTACTCCTAAGCTGCCAATCCTTTTATGTACATGAAAATTTTCATTATAAAAATGGAATCATATTATAATACTGTTGTGTAACCTACCTTAAAAAAATAAATTCCAAAAGAAACTTAGTATGTCCGCAAAATATTTTTTTAAAGATTTTATTTATTTGCGAGAGAGGGAGAGAGCGAGCATGAGTGGGGGGCAGAAGGAGAGGGAGAAGCAGACTCCCTCTGAGCAGGGAGCCGGACGTGGGACTCAATCCCAGGACCTCTGAATCATAACCTGAGCCGAAGGCAGATGCTTAACCAACCGAGCTACCCAGGTGCCTCTGCAAAATACTTTTTTTAAAGATTGAAAGAGAAAGAGAGTGCGGAGCCCAATGCAGGGCTCGACCTCACAACCCTCAGATCACGACCTGAGCCAAAACCAAGAATTGGACGCCTAACTGACTATGCAACCCAGGCGCCCCTGCAAAATATTTTTATAACTGTCTCTATATAGATCCCAGTAAATGGAGGTAAATACAATTTATTTTCCCACTGTCAGAAATTTAGACAGTTTCTAATTTTCTACTATGATATATAATACATCAACAGACACCTCTGTAGGTAAGATTCTTGACAATTTATTTTGGATAAATTCTTAAGCCTCTGAGTCAAAAATGTATGGATTTTGGTATACACTGCTATGTTATCCTTTAGGAAGGTTGTATAGGTTTATACAAAAAATAATCTTTTCTGTGGAGTGTAGAAGTAAAAGCAATACTTCCAAGATCAGCATTTCAAACTCACATTAAAAATTCTGGGTTCAAATGTTGGGGATTAGAAAAGGCAAAATTTTAAAAAATACACATATTCTAAAACCCTTGCAAGTGATTTAGGCAGTACATACCAAGAATCTTAAGAATATGCATTCCCCTTGTGCAATAATTCCACAGTTGGGACTCTATCCTAGGGAAATCATCCCAACAAAGATTTACGAATAAAAATATTCCCTGCAACCTTATTTATAACAAAAAAGTTTAAACAAACTAAATGTCCAACAAGAGGCTTATGAAAGTGAATTATGGTATAACCACAAGACAGACTATTTTGTAACCATCAGAAATGGCTGTTTACAGACACTTTTTTAATACACGAGAAAATGCTAATAGTTTTAATGCTAAACAGAAAATAAAAAGCCAAGTACAAAACCATATGCATACTACATATTCAGGCATGTTAAAAACTATGTAGTTAAAAAAAAAAGAAGGAAAGCAGAAATACTCCAAAATGTTAAGAGCAGTTGCTTCTGCAATGTGGGTTTATGGTGTGAATTTTTCCCCATTTTTTTAAAACAGTCTTCTGAACTCTCCACGTTTTCTACAGTGAGCATATATTACTTGGATAATCAGGAACAAAGTAAACAAATACATTTTAAAAAACTCTAATAAAACAACAATCAGCCCCCTTCCTTGCTTATTTAAAAAACAAAAACAAAAACCACATACCCAAAACTCCAGCTTAGTGCCTTCTGTCAGGGAAAAAGAACAAAATAAAGTGACACCTGGACCCTCGTACTGGGTCTGTCTCCTGAAGATTTTCTCCCTCCACTTTTAACCATATGACAATAAAGGCACTTGTTAACAGTAATGGTAAGAACTCATCTTCAAATGATAATATCTTAAATAATAAAGATTATTGCACTGGGTATGTTATGTACATACACTGTGATCTATTCTCTTGTAATATTACACATGTCCTCACAGAGAGAGCATGCAGGTCTGCACTAGAATGTTAACAATGGTCATCTCTGGGTGATGAAAATTTCAATTACTTCCTTCTTAATTAAAAAAAAATTGACATAACATGGATAGCTTAGTATCAGAAAAAAACTAATAAAGTTATTTTCATTTTGAAAAATAGTAACAGTCAACAGAAATAAGCATTAAAGAAACGAATCTAATCTGAAGAGGAAGGTGAAAAGCGAGGTGCTAATGTGAAGGCTTCTAGCAATGTCTTCGTCAAGTGGGTTTGATCAAGAGTACTACTTATCCGATCATTCTTCCCTTTTCGGGGAACATGGGCTCTGGTCCCTGAGGCAGTGGCCCAGTCTTGTTGAGTGAGGAGTGCCTGGCACTTTCCCGTGGTCCATGGGCTTACCACGAAGAAGCAAGGAAAAGGTCAAGTGTTGGCTGCAGAGACGGAAGCTCCTGGGGATGGACAAGGAGCTGGCCCAGCTAGGGCCAAGGACAGACTCCTACGAGGCCTGACTGGTGCTCAGAAAAGGCCAGCCTAATCTAGGAACCTCTTTTAGCTGATGCAGGGCAAGAGGAGGGTTCAAGGAAGGCAAGAAGGGAACTCTGAGGGTCCAGGTATCAGGCACTCTAATGGTGCCTCTAGCATGTCCACGGCAACCCCTTACAGTAGGAATTACAAATCCCTTTTTACAGAAGGAGTCAAGTAATGTCCCCAAGGTCACAGGACATCATGTGCAGAACTAGCCTGATCTAACTCTGGTACCATCACAGGGATACACCGTAAGGCTTCTAGGTCCTTAATTACCAACTGTGTCTGCTTTTGCAGAATTATCCGGGGAGCTTTTTAAAAGTAACTAATGATGTAACATACGATGATTAACATAACAATAAAAAATTTTTTAAAAAAGCAATGGCCACACAAATATTAATTTACAAAATGAAAAAAAAAAGTATACATTCCTGGGCGCCTGGGTGGCTCAGCTGGTAAGCGACTGCCTTCGGTTCAGGTCATGATCTTGGAGTCCCGGGATTGAGTCCCACATCAGGCTCCCTGCTCAGCGAGGAGCCTGCTTCTCCCTCTAACCTTCCCCCCTCTCATGTACTCTCTCTCTCTCTCTCATTCTCGCTCTCTCAAATAAATAAATAAATCTTAAAAAAAAATAAAAATAAAAATACACATTCCTAGGGAGACCTACTAAAAATCAGTAAATGCAGGAGCAGAGCCCAGGCATCCATCTAAAATTTTTTCCTAGGTGATTGTTAGGGCTGGCCCACAAATGGCATTCTGACTGCTGGTCTAGGAGAAGGGGAGCAGTTGGTTAATTTACGGCTTCCTCCAGATGTCCCTCTAACAGCACTCACGCTCCCTGCCTCTAGCCTCTTCCCTCCTTATGCTCCATCCTGCCCACACTCATGTTCAATCTTCCTAAAATAATGCTTTCGTGGTGGATGCAGAGGCTTTGGGCAAGCCCTTTATATTATGCTAAACACTATTCTATCTCCTAAATACTGGTAAATTCATCTTCCTATCTTAATTCCACTGATATCTCTTAGCTTCAGGCTACCATTTCCTGGATGGATTTCCGCAACAGCCTCCCTGGCCTCCCTGCCTCCACTCTTGATCCTTACAATCTGTTTTCTACCCAGCCACCATAATCATCGTTCATAAACACAGATGTGATCTCCCCAGTGTCTGGGAAAAAAATCTTTCCAGGAACTTACTGTATTAGAATCACGTGGGGAGCATTTAAAAATGCAGATCTGCAGGCCCCACCCCAGACTCACTGACTCAATCTCTGGGCGTGGGGTCCCAGAAACCTGTATTTTTATAAGCTCCTTAAGTGACCGTGATGCTGTAGCAGATTCGATTATTGTTCAAAAATTTTCATACTCTCCTCTAGACCTCCACAAACATATATATTTCTCTGTCCCGGTGATACTGGGCTTGGCCTGTGTGATCTGCTTGGCCAGTGGGATGTACCAAGAGCAGGTGCTTCAAATGTACTTGAATGGCTGGGCTTATGCTCTTGGCATCTGCTATTGAAAAGATGTCCTCGGGGGAAGCCTGGGTGGCTTAGTCGGTTAAGAGTCTGGCTTTGGCTTGGGTCATGATCCCAGGGTGCTGGGATCGAGTCCCCGTCGGGCTCTTTGCTCAATGGGGAGCCTGCTTCTCCCTCTGCCTGCCGCTCCCCCTGTTTGTGCTCTCTCTCTCTACCTCTGTCAAATAAATAAATAAAATCTTAAAAAAAAAAAAAAAAGAAAGAAAGAAAAAAGAAAAGATGTCCTGGGAAGCTTGTTGACTCCAGAAGACTGAGAGACAAAGCAGACCTGAACCCAATCCAACATCTGGAACCAAGCCCACTGAGCCCAGCCTAGAAGAGCGACTCCCAGCTGACCCACAGAAATGAGACTAAGAAATAAAACCTGATACTGTAAATCACTGAGTTGTGAGGTGGTCTGTCATGCAGCATTATCGTGGCCACAGACGACTGACAGAGCTACACAGCCAGTGTGGGAGTGTCTGCACAGGCTGGAGATCAAGCTGCTCAGCCTGGTCTCCAAGCCCTGCTCTGACCAACCCAGCTGGCTGCTGTGTCTATCCACTCCCCAGCCTCAGCCATTTTCACGCTGCAATTACCCACCCGCATAACATTCTTTTAGACAGCACACCTCTGCATGTGTTATTCTACCTGCCCCCAGTCTCTCACTATTTCATTGCAGTTTGTTCAAGTGCTACCACTCAGCGCAGTAAGCACACTGCTAAGGCCTCACTTGCCAGCACCCAGACAAGCCACCACACACACAAGGGCATCAGCGCCCAGGCTCTGAAGTTAGTCGGCCTGCGTTGGGATCCATTTCTAATTGACCAGCATGTGACTTTGAGCAAGTTATTTAGCTGCTCTCTACCTCAGTTTGCTCAGGACCTCCTTCACAACTCTGCAGCAACAAGGATAAATGAAATGATAGAAAGTGTTCAGCACTGAGCCTGGAACCCAGCGAAGAGCCAACAGCATCTTCTCTTCCTCCACATTCCCAGGGCTAAGCCCAGAACAGAGACTCATCCAATCCTCATCATGTCAGGGAAAGAATCAGGGATACCCTGTTTTAATTTTCCTCTCTTCAGACATGAACAGATGGTTCCCTGGGTCAGACACACAAGTACTACATCTGTTGGCAACAGTACCTGTTTCTCTATGAGCCTAATGGTGTCCTCCGAGACTTTGTCCTTTGATTTCTTCAGCTTATTCATTGCATTGGTACGAACTTTCCGTAAGGAATCCTTGGCCTTGTTGGTGTTCTGTTTGGCCAGTTTCACCAGCATTTCCCTGTGCTCCCTGGTTACTCTGATTAAGAAAAGAAACAAACAAAAACATTCAACAAAATCATCCCACACATTAGCTGCTAGCTGAGAATTTAACATCACTCCATCCACTAGCTTAGCAGTCAGTAGCTCTGCTCTCCATCGGTGATGATCTTTATGGTCCTGAAGCATGCCCAGGGGTGTGCTTGGGGCCAAGTGAAGTTCCTGGTGAGTTAGGTGAGGAGAACCAGCAAGAGGACTGCTGAAAAGCTTGGGCCAGTGCGTCCTGGCCACACCTGGCCAGTTCCTGCGTGCGTAACTGACTTGTCTCCTCGGAGTTCCCACCTGTAAAATGTGGTAAGGTGATAAAGAGGCAGTGCATGTAAACTGTTTAGCGCTGACCCTGGCCCATATTTAGAGCTCAATGAAAGGAACCAATTGTTAGCTCTAACTCTACCCCCTTCTCTCCCACTGAAGCACAAACAAGTGGATGATGCTACAGAAATTGCTCCGTTCAATCTCTAAATCACCCAAAACAAGTTAAGTAGCAATCTTCAGAATCTTACTAATTATTATAGCAAATTACTTATGAATCACCTCAAGACTGACTAAGACACAACCTGAGTGCCAACATGTGAGAACTGCTGCTGCACCAGTTAACTTCCACAAAGAAGCCACAAGAGGGTCTGGCACATGTCAGTGCTTACTGAATGTCAGCGTTTCCACTGTTCCCTTCCCCATCGTAGCACCACCACGAGCACAAGGAGGGCCTCCTACAAACCCCTGGCACAAGCACCTTCTAAGCTGGCCCTTACCACTACACAAGGCACTTACTTTATTCTTATTTTACCTTTACTCATCACAACAACCCAGCAAAGTAACCCCACGAGTTGGCTCCGCCTTTGTTTCTTTGTCCTCTACACAGTGAGGGCTACTCACCTACCACAACCAGGGCCGGGCACGAGGGTACTACGGTGAACACTGACTGAGCTTGGTTCGGCTCTTAGGGAGCTCAGCCAGGGAGAGAGGTGAGTAAAGACACACAACAGGAGTGTGGGACGTGCCGTGGCAAGGGAAGCGAAGTGCAAGGTGCCATAGGAGCACTAAAGCAGCTCCCCTAACTCGCCAGGAACTGTCCGAGCTCGGGCAGGTGGCAAGTAGGGGAGACTCTCCTGAAAAAATAATCCCTAAATGCGGGAGTGTTTGGGTCTGCTCACTAGTGTTCTGGTTCTTATTCTTTCCAGTAAGAAGGCATTTTTTCCTCTCCCCTCTAAGGTCTGGTGTGGCACCAGGACTTGCACTGGTCAATGAAATGTGAGCAGAAATGAGGGGGGTCACCTCGGGGCAGGAGCGTTATTAGGAGCCAGTGTGGGCTCCGCCACATTTGTTTCTGTTGGCTGCAATACAAGCGGAGATGGGGCGCCCATCAGCGTGGGTCCCAGAGCAACCACGATCAACAGCGCCCATCATGCAGCCTGGGCAAGAAGCAGATTTCTATGCTAAACCACGGAGACTTAGGGGTTGCCTGTTACTACAGCATAACCCACCTGTCCTGACTAATACACACGCTAGGATCTGAAGAATGAGTGCAGGTTGCCCATGCTGGCATGGCAAGGGGGGCTTCCAGGAGGAAGAAAGAGCACGTACAAAGGCTTTAAGCTGTAAAGAGACGATGTTTCATTTGAGGAATTACTGGAGCATGGATAACAAGAGAGTGACAAGAAAAGAGGCTGGAAAGCCGTATCATGGAGGGTCTTGCAAGATCCTGAGCCCCATTTTACAGATGAAGAAAACGAAGCCCAAGAAGTTTGGGCCAAACCCAGGCTGACCCGTCTCAAATGGCAATATTCTTAGTATGACAAAATTCCCCTGCCCCCTGGGTCCTGAAATGGACATCACTGGCATATGGTTCCTGACCCTCAAATCAGTGTGGTTCTTACTTGGTAAGGACAAGCCCACGTTCTGGGTATATGTTCCATGTGAAGCAGTGGCAAGAAGATGTTAAAAGATTTAGTGGCATCTACCTGCTATTTTTCTCCCTGACAGGATGAGAAAAAAAATTAAAGAATTTTGAGAAAAAATGAGCTCTGAAGACAAAGTGGACGGCTGCATTATAAATCAATCCTTCTGGATTCAGCTATTTGAAGGTATTCTCGAAATAGAAATGATCCTGATTACTGCCATTATTAAGCCCATCTCTGCCAGGTGAGTACTGTAAGTACTGCACCTCACAGACCCTCACAACAACTCTTCCAGCTAGATTCTCATCCCCCCATTTTCCAATGTGGAAATTGAGGCTCACAGATGTTAAGCAACTTGCACATGGGCCTGACAGGCCTGGGATTCAAATCCAGATCTCTCTGGCCTGTGTGCTTTCCCCTCCTCTGTGCTGCCCACCCCTTGTAATCTATTTCAAATAAATTATGTACTGCTGCCATTGCTGCTGCTTCCAGGCAGAAAGCTTTTCAAAGTCAGTAATATGAATCTTGGGACTGAAAAGGACAAAACCACCATGTCAGGAGTTTAGGGATTTGGATCAGATCTTGTTACTTTTATGGTTTTTAATTCATTGAACAAAAATCATGCTGACATGTTTAGGTCTCTTTTTTGTTCTGCCAAAGCATATGTCGGTATAAGGAAGGAACAGGAAAATTAAAACTTGATCCACTGATTCAAAAAACTTAATCCTGCTGAAATACTAGGAGGGGCAGAAAATAAATGAATCTCAGTCTGTAAAAAACCTCTTAAACTTCTCTAAAGAGAGCTATTTCAATCTTATATTTCATATATAATTTGAAATAGATATTCCACTGTTTAGACAACCTTTAATAAGATAAAAAATTTTATCTAACAAACTTCCTTTTCACTACATTATTACATTTACATTTTACATGAAGAAAAAACCGTATCTTTTAAAAAATATATACATTGGGACTCAAAGAAATCTTAGGAGTAAAAGGCTGTATAAAGAAAACAAAATTAAAATATATGTAATTTGGCTTTAATACAACATATTATTTTGTATTTCTTAATATAAAGGTGACATTAGTATACTATTAACACTAGTTTCTACACATAATAGTATCCAATTATTGACAGTGACAAAAACATTTCAGTTTCAGGATGCAAGTACAGAGGCAATAATCTAAGGAAATGGAGAGCAGAATGCGGGGGTGGGGGCGGGCACAGGGAGGGCTGAGGGGAAGGGAATATGCATGCTGGTTCAGGGTGTTGGGCTGAAAGGTATCTCAAAAACAAGTTCAGAAGCAGCTGGGCTGATGGAAAGGCACTGGTATGAAGTCACCCAGACCTGTTGCATTCCTATGTCTATTACTCAGAAGCTGATTCCTCATTTCTAAAATGAAGGCAATAAAAACACCTCACAGGGTGACGGGGAGAAGCAGACACAACACATACATAAAGTACCAATAAAGAACAGCATATAATAGCCTTGAATAAATGATAACAATTATGAATGTTTTAATCAAATACACCTAATTACTTCCTTATGAAACGAGGGCACATCTGTTTTAGAAAAGAACCATACTATATTATGGAAATATTTTAATTCCTTTCCAAACCAGTGATTAATACATCTGATCATCTCTGTCTCACATTCATGGGGTTCTCTGAGTACACGCTAGTTTGTTCTCAGGCTTCTGCACTCCAGCCAGTTGGTTCTGAGCACCCGCCTCTGCACTTGGTGTGCATTCATTCATCAAGCACTGGCTGAGGCCGCTGAGTTCTGTGCCAGATCCTGGGCCAGGCTGAGGAGCTCCAGAGAGAAGGCAGGCCTGGTCTAACTTCCCCAGAGGCTCAGCCCAGTGGTGGAGACAAACTCGTCAGCCACTACTTAGAAAGAGCAAGAGTGCCTCTAGGGCAGAGGGATGGGCCTTCTGCAGGAGGAGCAAGCAGAGAAGTACAACTCATTCTGCCTCTAGATCTGGAAAATGCCTTAGAAGCATTTTGGTTCACTGAAGAAGCATTTGGTCCGCTGAAATGCCCGGAGAGGGCATTTCAGGAAGAAGCACGGTGGGAGATCTAATGGCAGGAGGGCAGAAGGGCAGGAGGCTGCAAAGGTCAAATTTGTTCTGCAGGCCTGGAGTTTTCAAATTCTTCTTTAGCCACAAAACTCTGGCTTTAAAGAAAACCATGGCAGACGCTCCATTTATAAATGTATAAAACAAATGAAAAGAGAGCTCTTCCAGTTAAGGGAAAGGGCACTTGGGGAGGGGTGGTGCTCTATCCTGGGCTTACAAAGTGTAGTCCACCCTGACTCCCCTCTACTTCTGGGCCTACCACTAGCTGGCTGAGGGACCTCAAGCAAGTTGTTTAAACTCTCTGGGCCTTGGTCTTCTCATCTGGAAATAGAAATGAAAATCAAACAAACGAGAAAACCCCAGCATCTACCTTTCAGAGTTTTTGTGAGGATTCCATGAGAGACTAGGTGGAGTGCACACAGTACAAAAGCCTGGTAGAGCATAAGCAATCAGAGAGTGTCAGTTGCCTTTGCTGCTGCTGTTTATGTGCTGGCACTCACTGAGGCATCTTCAAGTAATGAAGAGTTTATTCTTGGAGGTTTTGATCAACAGAGAAATGACAGGGCAAACAATCGAAGCTTCAGCAAGATGACTTTTTGAGATCCTACTAGGAACTTAACAACTCGTGTACATTTTATAATCCAAATGCTCCCAGCATGTAGCCCTGAAATTGTCTCTTTTCGGTACTAATTCATTCATTTAATTTGTAGTTTCATTAACAGCTGTTTACTGGGCACATATTATGTGCCAGCCCCGATGCCAGCCATGAGAGACGTAGCATTAAACACATGAGTCTACTGTCTAGCAACGGAGGCAGTCATTAAACAAACATATGCACAATTGATCAATAAGTTACAGTTCTAATAAGCACAATAAAGACATACAGAGTTCTATGAAAATAATTAGCAGGGGAGCGGAGTCTGACTGAGGTCCCCTGTGGGACTCTAGGAACAAAATGTGGGGACATTTAAACTAATGATATTTAAATTAAGATGTGTAAGAG